CTCCATGTCAATTGCACTACACCAAGAAAATGGGGCCCTCACTGAAAAACCAAACGTGGTCTAGACTACGTTTGGTGCGTTTGGTGTGGTCATTGCATGGAAACCCTGGGTGAGGCGCCCATGGGCGATCCATGGGCGGTCCATGGGAAATTGAAAGCGGATATCTATGGACAGTCCATGGACGGCCCATGGACGGCCCATGGACGGCCCATGGAGGGTCCACACTGGCTGCATATTGCTCTGGCAAAGTCCTCCCACTATTAAGCAGTCTTTCCAAGTCAGAATAACATGGTGGGCTCTACATGAACTTTTCGCGCTTCACTCAATTCTAAATTCAGATTTTGTTTCGGACTAACGGTTCAAAAGTTAAAAGGACTTTGTGAAAATTACTTGGAGACTTAGATGCACGAGGAAGTCATTGTCAATGGCCGTCCATGGACCGTCTGAGGATGACCATTGGTTGTCCATTTGTAATGGACAACCATGGATTGTCCATGGCCTGTCCAAGGATCGACCATGGTCACCCCTTCACGACCATATGCACCAATGGATTCACCATGGGTGTCTAAGGTTGCAGTGTGGACGGACCATTGGTCGCCCATGGGCGCCTCACCCTCACCCAGGGAAGACCAAACGTGGTCTAGACCACACCAACTGATGCGGTCAAAATGGCACCTATTTGACCACACCAGTGGTTTGGTTTTTCAGTGCTGGTGACTGCAACTCCACCCCTCCGCGATAGAAAAAATAATAACTCCGCACCAGGAAGTCGTGTGGAACGCTTCAAACTCGGTTGGACCACCGCATGGTCACTCGAACATCACAGGGACACACAAAGGTTCCAGCAATTTACGTACAATAATTATGTCATACATTACAACACAAACTCTCGAATCCACATACTAGGGGTACGCGCCGTTCAGTCTGGGCGCGTAGTGTGGCTGAGCGATGCGAATGGACATTTTTTGTGCACTTTGGACTTTGCTTGAGTAGACGAAATGTCCATCTTATGGGCTCATATTCAGTGAACTTAAGACCAGGGGCACAAATGGAAGTGATTTTCGTTATCAGAACACCAAAAACTGCTGGGATCAATGTCAAACTCGATTTAAAAATTTTGGTCCAAAATTGGTCAAAATTCGGTTAAATATGAGTCTGGGAAAAGTTTGAAGGTCATTTTTGAGTTCAGCACACCAAAAACTGCAGGAAACAATGTAAAACTCGACATGAAAATTTTGGTCCAAAATGATCTAATTTGCGATGAAAATATAAGTCTGAAGTCGAAATGAAAGTGATTTTCGTTATCAGCACACCAAAAACTGCTGGGATCAACGTCAAACTCGATTTAAAAATTTTGGTCCAAAATTGGTTAAAATTCGGGTAAGTGTGAGTCTGGGAAAATTTTGGAAGTCATTTTTGAGTTCAGCACACAAAAAACTGCAGGAAACAATATAAAACTTGACTTGAAATTTTTGGTCCAAAATGACCTAATATGGGATGAAAATATAGGTCTGGTGTTAAAATTGCCCCAAATTGCGTAGCTCTAGATGAAAATGTAGGATTGGCATTGAAATAAATGTAGTTTTTGTTGCCAGTACACTGCAAACTACATACAATACTTTAGACTCAATTTCTGTATATTGTTCCTATTTGTCTTCATGAAGCACCCTCTGCCGTCACCAATTCCCTGATGCCACACCAAGGCGAATCCCTGAGTCGAGTAAAATTCAATTGCCAGCTTTGAATCGCTTAATTGGCTACTCGTATGCTTGGGTCACTATTCGATAACTCTTTTTTCTTAACTAATGAACTCACAATTTTATAAGTTATATTTATGAAACATTTTGTCATTCTTTCATTGTGAAGCAGTGAATAAAACAATATTGATTGGAATCACAGTAAATATTAAGAGAGTCAGTTTATGGTAGGCTGATCTAAACCAGTTAACGGGGACCAATTATTGTCAAATCCAGTGATTCGTCACATAGAGTCCAACGCCAAGGCTACCCAAGGCTTAATGAACCGACATAATTTATCTTACTCATGTAAACAATACTGAGTAGTACCAGTTATATTAACTTCGGTGAAGTTAAAGGAATCGTCTCACTAAATCCAATCACCAATTCACTCACCGCTCAAAACCTGAGTCGTCTCTTTGAAACCAATATCAATTTAAACTCTATTAGGATTAATATACACAACCATACATTGATTCTATTAATAAACTCATGTTAGTGCTTTTGTACTCTTGTCAGCTTGCAGCATTGCAATAGAATGAATTTCTCGAGTCCAAACTAAGTATGCCTGCCAATTTCAACACAAGTTATTTATGCATTTCCCTGATTTCCTCTAGTTTGAAAAATTTTTAAAAAAAGGATGACACTAGAATGAAATAAAAAAATGCACACAATACAAAAAGGGCAAAATAAAACATCCTTTTTACAATGCTTTGTCAAAAGTGCACTGACCTGAAGATGATTCCCCTCTGACAGAGGAGGGGGGAGAGGGGAACGAAACACGTAAAACATTTTCGAATCCATTCTCCATATTTCGCTGTGTTGGTGTTCCAAAGGGTTTTAATCATTCTAGAATGTTGAAAAACTAAGGCCGATCTCATTTCCAAACCCTTCTGCTCTTTATTTAGTTTTATTTGCTTATTTGCTTGAGTCCCGTATTTGAGAGCCGCGGACCCGCAGGTATGAGAAATTGGTAAGCGCTGCTGCCTCGCTGCCAACCTAACCACGCTAATGACCTGATTCAAAAATATGTTTTGATTATTCCAAACGATACTAAACAACGATTTGAAACAAACTCGTGTTGGGGGGTACTAAGGCGACGTTAAATACGAAATCTTGAAACTATAGCCACTGTAGTTGCTGAGAATCGTTGGTGAGTACAAACAGACAGACGCACGACCAGTCACTTTTCAGCGCGCCCAAACACGGCAAGGGCTTCGCTATCGCTCAGCCAAAAAGGGCCAAGCGAGCGGGCACACACACACACATACACATGCTCACTCACGCGCGCATACGCACACATACACATGCGCAAGAGGAGCCATCACTAATTCAAGTGGGCCGTGGGGTCGCTAAACGAGGCCGTCTGGTCCGGTCTGACGCCACCAAATCCCAGGCCTCGCTGCAGACCGCTGCACCTTGAATTAGCACCGGTGGGCCTCCCTCGTAGCAGCCACCAAAAAAAAAGTCATCCTACATTTTCTTATAAAAAGACAACAAATTTTCACACTAGGATGCGGTTTTGCTATTGACCACAGCACAGTGGGCTAAGATCGGTGGAGGCGTCAGAATCCCGGACGCGTTTTGAGTTCCAGAGCCGCTAAACAGTCCTCGACGCAAACGTATGACCCCACCAATGGATTGCGCTCTAGGCGCGTTCTATTCGACTCCTGCTGAGCAACTCTGGAGCTCACAACTTGTCCAGAATTTTCGCCGCCTCCAGGGGTTTTGTAGACTGGGATGGCTGAGACTGCTCCGCGCTGTGCTTCACACGTCTGCGGTTTTTATTTGGGCCAGCAGCACAACCAGCGCGCTTGCTAGACAGGCAGACAGACAGGCAGACAGAGAGACAGACAGACGGACAGACAGGCAGACAAACGGGAAGACAGCACAGCAGCTGAACAACTGCACGGACCCAAAGCAAACATTTTGCAAGACTGCGGGCGACTGGCTGCATGTGTATGTGCACGGGAGGGTGGTTCTGACACAACACGACAGTCTGCCGCTCATCTCGCTCGTGTGCTAATTCACTTTTATTTGTCAAGCACACACTCGCGCGCACACACTGACATTCGCAGCGGGCCGGGCCTTCGACTTGACACAGAAAACAGTCCGCGAAGCATCGCTTTGTAATACGGAGAAATGCTGGAAGCAGAAAACTGCACAACGCGAAGCACTTTATAACGCCCTCATATTCTCCGTGACAAACCAAAGGGTGGAGAACTCCACACTTTCTGGCATGGAGCAGTTCTTCACACTGCTGACTTTACTTCTAGACTCCACACTTCGAGTTTAGTGGCCCACAGCGCTCCTATGCCTAGAAATGGTGCAAACGGAGAGAACTCCACACTTCAAAAGAGTGGAGTTCTCTCTCCACCAAACTCAGCACTTCGAAGTGCGGAGACTAAAAATTCCACATCCCCGCATTTCAAATGTGAAGTTGCCCACACTTGGATTTGCAGTGCAACGAAGTGACACGAGGCGGACTCACCTTTGGGGCTGGGCGTGAGCGGCATCATGCTGATGCGGCCCCGCAGGTCGAAGCCCCTGGACAGCACCAGGTTGCGTCCGCGCGAGGTGCTGCGCTGCACGCCGGCGATGGCCCCCGTCAGGGCCTTGGTGTAGTCGCGCACGCCGAACGACTTGTAGGGCAGCACCAGCCCCACGCGCAGACGCTTCTTGCCGCCGTCGTCCCACGCCGTGCCTGCGGAACCACGCCACTGTAAGGGCCACGCACCACTACACTCGTGGAGTCGTCAGTCGAGATTATTCCACGTTGTGATGAAAAATTTTCTTTTTGGCGCATGCACCTGAATGTACTCACTGTGGAAATTTTGGTTTTCTCTTAATGACAATAACAGCAAATTTTTCTTACAAGAATGATGCCATCAAAACAATGGAGGACATTGTTGTCACCCATGCAATAAGCTTTGATGAAAATGTCAACAAATTTCGATGAAAATGCCATCATTTTAAAGTGATGAAAATGTCACCACAGTGTAGGGCCAGGGCTTGGCCCTCCGAACGTACCGGCGAAGCTGCTGCCGGTGCCGTAGCCGTGCCGCCGGGTGTCCGTGTGGGTCTCGGTTCGTCCTCGGAGTGCGGCGCGGTGGGGGTGGCGGCCGCGGCGGGGCCGAGACCGTCGTGGTGGTGGTCGTGGTGGTCGTGGGGGTGGTGGAGGTCGTCTCGTGGCGCGTGCGGTTGGGCTTGGTCCCCACCAGGCTGGTGGTGCGGTTGGGGGAGATGAGCGAGATGTTGGCGCGCAGCGACGTGTTGGTGCGCCTATCTTGATGGCGCTCTGGCCGCGCCCCGAGCCCGTCACGCGCGCGCCGCCCCGGGTTTGGTCCCGACTTGGATGCCGCTGCGGCGCCCCGTCGACGTCGAGGACCCGCCGCCGCGCCGCACCACCGCTGCTGCGACTCGAAGACGAGTAGAACCGCGCCACGTCCTCCGCGTCGACGTCGCGGTCCTCGCGGTCCTCGTCCGCGAAGGCGGCCTCAGCGTCAGCCTCGGCCTCCACGGGGTGGTCCACGGGGTGGTCCACGGGGTGGTAGGACGCGGCGTCCCGCGTTGATGACGTGCCCCGCCGATGCGGGTGGGCAGCTCGCGGTGCGGGGCATCGCGGTGCGTGGACGCACCCTGGGCCGCCGCCGCCAGTGCCGCCAGCAGCAGCAGCACCACGCCCGCCCCCAGCCGCCACCGGCGCGCCACCGGCCGCACGCAGCGCCCATCCCGGAGCGGCAGCCGTAGCGGCAGGGACGGCGGACCGGCCGGGACGGGCTGCGCAGTCACAGCGCAGCCATGCCGCCAGCCTGCAACACACGACAGAGCGTTACGCAAGGGCCCAGAGATTTTTAAGCGGTCTTGCTACCGCTTCCCACTCTGCATACGATCCCACTCATCCCATCCCATCCATCCCCCATCATCCATTCAGCGCGCTCGGAGGGGACTGCATGGTCGTGGTTCGTCGTTCGTCGTTCGTCGTTCGTCGTCCGCCTGCGCCGCCCCGCCGCCTCGCCGCGCCAGTCCCCACTCCTCACACCCACCCCCTCCCTCTTGCCCCCTCTCTGCCCGGCTTCCCCGCCGGTCCACGGCAAGACCGCTTTGCTAAGCTTGCCTTGGCGGAACTTTTTTCTATCGGCATACCGGAATACCATCACCGTCCCCACACCGTCATTGAACTAAAAGTAAAAACGGTTCCTGGTTTTCCCAGGGACCCCCTGCAAAGCGTCTATGTCTTTGCCATAGGCTTCCTGGGGAAACCAGGTTCCGACCACGAACACGGCAGGCTTGGCCAAGCCAGTGAAGGTTGCCATTCATCCGGGGTTAAACGGGTTTTCCCCGTTTCCACTCGCTTCCCCTCGTCGAGACCCCTCCGGCGGAGGCCCGGCCAGGCCGCCACTAGCCTTCCGGCCTTTCGGCACGGCTTCGCGCCTCACAACACATCAAAAGGCTGCGCAAGTGCCCCTGGGGCCCCACTCCGCCCCACCCCGCCCTGCCGCGCCCCGCCCCGCCTCACCCCGCCCGCGCAGGTGCCTGGAGGCTTTGCTGCAAGGTCCCTCGACTTCCGAGGACTGCAATCACTGGCCACTCGAGGCGAGGAGGGTCCCGCGGTTCGGCGAGGGTCAGCTTGCCCGTGGCTTCCCCGGCCCCTCCAGACGACACGGCCCGATAATCGTGCGGCCGCTGCTTTAAAACGCTATGAGGGGACAGGAGCTCGGCGAGGCCGCCGAGGGGATGTCTGAGCAGGAAGATCCAAGTCCACTCTTCCGCGACGCACCCATCAAGATAACCGCTCTCCTGTTCCAGGATTGTTATTCTGCAATGGATAGCCCCGGTCGAGGCTCATTTCGGTACATTTTGGAACACGGGCGGTAAAATGGGATAGCTCTGTTTCTTGGACCAGATTTGTCATTTTGGATAAGTAGTATTTGTGTGTTTTCCACACGGTCCTCCATAGTTCGGCAGGCCCGCTATCCACGACCCAGTCTGTGCAGCACCGCCAGGTACGACGCTGTCCTCGCCGCGACAGCGCGCTGAGCCGGGTCCACGGCTTTGTCGACACGACAGCTTAACAACTACCCTCGGGGTCCCTCCTACCTCGCCCACGAGCAACTACCAAACCGCCAGCGATTTCGTCCGCGGAGTTTAGTTTGGCCCGCACGACTCCTTAGGGTGGCCGCGTGACAGCCGACGGGGCGCGGGACCTTTCGTGTCCCGTCGTGTCCCGCACTGCCACACGGCCATTGTGGGTTCCTGGCCGCCAGCGCCACTATATCGCTCTGGCCACAACTGTCATCCAACGAGTGTGACGCGAGGGGGTAACGACTGGTAAATTTCGTGTCAGTCATCGAATTCAAACGAACGCGACAAAATTCCTATGGTATAGTGACGTCACACTCTTTATACAACAGTGTCGCAGTCCACTCATACAGCACAGGTTCATGGGTTGCGCAGGATTTTGCAGTGCTGTAAGTGACGAGGAATTCAGTTCATAGTGAGAATTGAACTTTGCTCGGCAGAATTCATGACCCACACTCTCGCAACTTTGCCAACAAACTTTTGTAACGCGAACCCAATTGGTTCATTACATGAATGGAGCCAAATTGTTGGAAGGTTTCGACGGAGTGCGCGGGTGCGAGATAGACAGCGCCACGAAGAGGATCCTCGGGCACTCTGGCCCGGTGCCGCGAGGGATTCGAAGCCGATTGCATTTGGGGCACCGTTCATGTCGGTTTGCCTTGTTGGCCGCAAAACACTCCTCGCGGGGCCGCAATCTGCATTGCATAAGGGGCGGGGCGGGGCGGGTGATGAGGCGTATTCAAGTTCCCACAATGCCATTAATGCTCGAACCGGCGGACTGCTCGAGTCAAGACGAGGTGACAAGGGATGCCCTTGCGAACCGGATGGTGAAAGGGGCTGGGACTCAGGGGCCCGAGGCGGGCCTCAATCTGTTGACAGGCTGATAACGAAACAGACGAAGGCTCTTCAGCCAGGTACACCGTGGTACGCCGCGGCCGGCGGCCAGTCCAAATACGAACCGAGTCTCGATGCAGCGACGAGTCAAGCGGCCCCGAATTGATAACACCCTGAGCGGCCTCAGTCCCGGGCAACCCTCGCTGAATGAACACATCTTGGCTCCCGAATTGTAATTAAGCCCCGCGGGGCAGGTGGACGCAAGCGCGGTCTGGTGCATTGTTTTCTTGCTGATAGCAGAGCCACAGTCAAACCAGGCACCACCGCCCCACCGCTCCCTCACTCTACTTCTGTCCCACTTCCCCAACAGTTTCCAAGCGGAGTGACAGGGGGATGAGGATATTGTTCTTTGAATGCTCCATCCGAGGAGGTTCGCGTCGTGGAATGGGATGATTGCCCACAGCCTGCCGCGTCGTCAACCTTTTTGCGCCGACTGACGCACTTCCCATCTCGGTCTAAATTGTCCTGATCTCGGCTTGCCAATCTGTGGCGAGCAAACTTAACTTGCCGCCGGATTTGCAGTGCGTCCAACATCTCAACGCTTCACTGCAGGATGCTTCCAGGCGGTCCCTCCGTCTCACTCGCACTCTCGTGGGACGTGCCTTTGGGGTGCGAGAGGGACAGAGCGACGCGACCCAATGGAATCAATCTGCTGACGGGTCGGGCCGAGGAGCGCGGGGCTGCTGGGCAAATGAATGGCAGAGGATCCGCATTCCTACGAGGGAGTGGGAGGCGGATGCCCTTCGCTCTGCGTCGCTCTGCGTCCCGAAATCCCTTCCGCGTGCCGGGGAGGGTCAGACACAGACCGGCTGCCCAGACAGACCGGGCGGGCCAGCCATTCCAGCGAGAATCCGGTGCAGGCAGCGCCGCTTCGCCACTTCCGGGCAGCGATTGGACGGCGCAGCGACGCCTGGGACTCTCAGGTGACAATGAGCTGCCCGCCCTCGGCACTGATTAGTTGGGGGCTTTCCGGAAATCTCGTTATTTCCTGTGTAGAAACTGTGCTATGTGCCACAAAGATCCGGAACACTGCCAATTTTGAAGGGAAGACTTCTGAATGGAATGCCATAATTCAGGACAGTTTTTCCCCTCCTGAGATTTTTCAATAAGTCATCGCGTCCGACCGAGCCATCGTCAAAGTCGGACGAATCGTGGACGATCACTCTGAACGATACCCCTCAACACTGCTCTCTTCAGTTCAGACCTACGAGGCTTTCGATTTTACATGACACTAATATTTAACGCGACTCGCACTAAGTCTCCGAGGTATCAGCAAAATAATTATGAGGCACTGTTGAATTGCCTCAGAAATGAGTCGTATTACGAAGAATTTTGGTTTGCTCCATAATACGACATTTCCTTGTAGATTTTATGGTGCCTTCGTTTTCATCTAATTAGGAAGCGACGCATCGTAGAATTTATTGTGTGCGAACACAAAATAGTGCCTAGTTTTTATGGTGCAGGCATGACGGTTTAATGTCGAGCGAGCAGAAATTTGAGGCCGACGCGCTGAGGCTACATGTGCATTCGGGGACTACTTTGTCCAAAGACGCACAAGCCCTACACCACGACCCGCCCGGCAATGAATAATGTATCGCGAAATAAGCTATCACGATGAGGGACTTACGGCAGCGCCTCTCGCCTTCATCTCGCCGACGTGCTCGTTGCCATAGCGACCAGCCTGCAACAACAACAACAAAAATCCCATCAACGCCATGCGTGGGCTTTGCGTGTCACTCGAGTGACACTCCGAAATGAACTCGGAGACAGTCAAACGGCCTCCTTTGACGAAGAACTGCGACCGTCGTTGCAACACTCCGAAATTCTTCCAGTCGATTTGGCATTAGTACAAGAAGAATTTTGTGGAAACACGATACACGGTACAAACGGTTCCTGGTTTTCACAGGAAGCCTATGGTTAACACTTTGGTGATTTCCAAGGAGTTCCGGGGAAAACCAGGAATCGTTTTTACCGTGTACAAACTAAATTTGTTCACACTTTGCTTTTTTTGCTTTTTTTTTGTGTACAAAGAAAACGCCTTATATATAACAAAGACAAAAAGGCTCCATAATATGCTCACACAAAATTCTATGTTCTATACAGGAAGTGTGCTAGGGGTGGCTAAGAGCCGGATTCTTCTCCCATCAGAGACTTCACTTTGACACCCTCGCGTCGGAGCCTGTATACTGGACAACGGCTAGGGTTGGAACTCTCTCTAAATGGCCCAAATTTTCTTCGTTTTTTCTTACGCTTGTAGTGACCTTGTCCAGAGCAGGACAGACCATTCTAAGGCGCCGCTCTGCCAGATTAGAGAGAGAGAGAGAGAGAGAGAGAGAGAGAGAGAGAGAGAGAGAGAGAGAGAAAGAGAGAAGGGTGGAGGCGGAGCTCTCATTACGTCATCAGCGACAAACGATCCCATTAAAGCAAGCCCGGCCCACACAACTCGAGTATTTCCGGGCGCGTCCACGGCGTCCACGGCGTCCACGGCGACCACGGCCTCACCATGCAGCCGCAAGAAGGTGGAGGCACAGCCTCCCGAGGCACGGGCTGCGGTCACGGCCACTTCGGCCAACCTGCCATTAGCAATGCAGATGGACAGCTTTGGGGAGGCAGGCCAGGCCGGCTGCCTGCCTCAGCTTCTCATTTGTTGGAACGGCGGCAAGCGTCAAAATTTTGCCATTATAGAGCGATTTTCTAAACAAGAATTTATTTTGTGAGTGCGGGAGGGACGCGCGGGGGTGCGGAGAGCACGAAAGAGGTCATCTCTCTGTCAAGCTGACAATAAGAACACCCCGCGAAAGAACTTTCACACACCGCACCGCACCGCGCGGCCGAGACGAGAAAAGCAAGATGAAATGAGCGGGCGTGAAAGTAAGACGGAGACGAGTGGCGCGCCGGAGGAGTCGGGTTGGACGGGCTGCCGCAAAAAAAAAAAAAAAAAAAAAAAAAAAGAGGGAAGGCGAGAAAAAAGAAAAAGCAGAGGAAAGTGCTCAAGTGCGCCAACGCCGTCACCTGGCCGTGGATTAGCAGGGACAGCGTCGTTAGAGAGAGAGAGAGAGAGAGAGAGAGAGAGAGAGAGAGAGAGAGAGAGAGAGAGAGAGATTAAAACAAGAAGTGTTGTGATGAATGAGCCACTGCACAGACCCGACCCACTTACGGCAAGGCTCTTTCTAATTGCGGG